TTTACATTTCAGAAAGCAGCCTGATCGAAAGGAACTTTTATTAAAGACTGTCTGAAGCCCAGCTAATGTCTTGCCTGACATCTTTTCTAAGTATTTCCTTACTCATTCTCTAGCTCATTTCCCCAAAAAAGTTTGTAATTTTTCTGTGCTTCCTTCTCACTACTTTTCCCTTCTTGTCTTGAATAACATATTTTGTAGGCGGGCATAAATCTGCATAGATGATTGTTTTTCAAGTGTTAACTTAGTTCCTGAATGTCGTGAACAGTGCATATATTTGTAGGTTATGCAGCTAGAATATGTAGATTATGAAGCTGTTGCAACTGACATTGGTCAGAGGAGAACAAATTTCCACTCCTTAGCATTCACTGGCTTCAATAATGGTTAAGAACCATTATACATTTTTTTTTTAAAGTGTACGATCAATTTACATTGCAACCTCATAGCACTTTGCCTTTTTTTTTTTTTTTAAATCTAATTCATCTTTACGTCTCCTCCTCCCCCAGGATTAAATTGTATCTTGCATGAATTGTACTATCAATTCTTATTTGTTGAGTTTCTGTGCTTTTGAGTAGTACCTACTTGTACTTAGTGTATGCCCATCGTACTTTTCCTGGCAGCACATTAATGCCTCTTACACATGACCCGTAGTGCCCACTGTTGTTTAACCTGCAGATAGTGAGTGTTCAGTCTGTGATAAAATGGAATCATTTAATACAGCAGTTATGTATCTGCTATCTGCCTGCCCTCAAATTAAATGATTTGTTTTGTTAACATTCTCTTTGGGGAAACAACAGATACTTAATGACTTTTCTGTCCTTAAGTCATGAGTTGATTAATCCATATTAACGCATTTCCTGTGAGTAAAACTTACTTTGTGTGCCTGTAGCCTTTTCAGACTGTGCTAAACTGGCAACCCATATGGTCTTTGTCTTTGACATCTCTTGCTTTGAATCAGTGTTTCAATTAGGAAAGTTTCCAGCCTCAGTCTTCCTCCTTCCTGCAGGGTTCTCCCTGACATGAACTCTAGCATGCACATATTTACTCCTGCTGTCCCCAGTCCTGATCCTACTTTTTTGTTTCACTCTATAAATAGTTTTTAAACACTAGTGCCTTGTACCCTTCGCGGGCCGGGCCACGTAGAGCAGCCACGTAGCGGAGCGAGCCGGGTGGGCGGGGGAGAGGGCTCTGAGGCCCGGGCAGTCGCCCTGGCAACGGCACTCGGGGCTGCGGGGTCCTGACGCCCCAAGGCGAGGGGTCCCAGTGGTCTCCCCTGGGCTCAGTTGGTTGTCGGGGTCGGGGGCGGGACCTCGTGCTCTGGGCTGAGTACCGTCCTACTCCAGTTGGTTCTTGGAGCGGGGGGCACAGCCCCTGGACTCGAGGGTCCCAGCTGGCGCCAGGGAGGGCTGGTCTGGATCCACCCTCCTCCGCGGTGGGAGAATTTTCCAGGACCATAGTCTTCTCCACATCTTGCGGCCGCGGACTCTGACCCTTCACTCTTACTTGGGCTGAATCACTCCAAGTCCTGCGCCTGTGTGTGCCGGTGTCCCTGTTTCCCGCACATGGTGCTAGGTGCTGGGGATAAGCTAGAGGAGAGACCATCCAGTTTCATGACTAGCATAATATGCGCTATAGAGGCAGTGCGAGCGAAAATGCCTTGAGAGAGATGAGGAAGGCGTTCCTTTCAGCGGAGTTGGGATCTATGCCAGGGGGAGGTGTTACAGAGGTTGGCAATTGATGAGCTGGACCTTGAAGTTTTCATGTATTTTAGAGGGAGGGCCTTCCAGGCCCAAGGTGAAGAGTAGGAACTGAGGATCCACGTTTATGAAATCGTTTTTTTTTTTTTTTTTTTTTTGTGCTTAGCATATGTCACTCACTGTTTACATTTCAGAAAGCAGCCTGATCGAAAGGAAATTTTATTAAAGACTGTCTGAAGCCCAGCTAATGTCTTGCCTGACATCTTTTCTAAGTATTTCCTTACTCATTCTCTAGCTCATTTCCCCAAAAAAGTTTGCAATTTTTCTGTGCTTCCTTCTCACTACTTTTCCCTTCTTGTCTTGAATAACATATTTTGTAGGCGGGCATAAATCTGCATAGATGATTGTTTTTCAAGTGTTAACTTAGTTCCTGAATGTCGTGAACAGTGCATATATTTGTAGGTTATGCAGCTAGAATATGTAGATTATGAAGCTGTTGCAACTGACATTGGTCAGAGGAGAACAAATTTCCACTCCTTAGCATTCACTGGCTTCAATAATGGTTAAGAACCATTATACATTTTTTTTTTAAAGTGTACGATCAATTTACATTGCAACCTCATAGCACTTTGCCTTTTTTTTTTTTTAATCTAATTCATCATTACGTCTCCTCCTCCCCCAGGATTAAATTGTATCTTGCATGAATTGTACTATCAATTCTTATTTGTTGAGTTTCTGTGCTTTTGAGTAGTACCTACTTGTACTTAGTGTATGCCCATCGTACTTTTCCTGGCAGCACATTAATGCCTCTTACACATGACCCGTAGTGCCCACTGTTGTTTAACCTGCAGATAGTGAGTGTTCAGTCTGTGATAAAATGGAATCATTTAATACAGCAGTTATGTATCTGCTATCTGCCTGCCCTCAAATTAAATGATTTGTTTTGTTAACATTCTCTTTGGGGAAACAACAGATACTTAATGACTTTTCTGTCCTTAAGTCATGAGTTGATTAATCCATATTAACGCATTTCCTGTGAGTAAAACTTACTTTGTGTGCCTGTAGCCTTTTCAGACTGTGCTAAACTGGCAACCCATATGGTCTTTGTCTTTGACATCTCTTGCTTTGAATCAGTGTTTCAATTAGGAAAGTTTCCAGCCTCAGTCTTCCTCCTTCCTGCAGGGTTCTCCCTGACATGAACTCTAGCATGCACATATTTACTCCTGCTGTCCCCAGTCCTGATCCTACTTTTTTGTTTCACTCTATAAATAGTTTTTAAACACTAGTGCCTTGTACCCAATATTCTGAGATTAGTAAAGAAGTATAAGTTTATGTAAGTATTAGTAGAAAATTCTCAGATGTAAGCCTTTTGTTTGTTTTAAATTGTAGCCCAGAGGCAACCGAAAACATGGAGCATCCTTTATCATCACAAAAGCAATTAGAGGTAAATATAGTTTATTTATTTTTCTACATATCATGATATCATTAACGGATAGCTTTCCTTTGTAACTGTGTCACTTTTAAACATTTGGGAATTTAAAAATATGTTCTTTAAACTTGTGATGAATAGCCTGATGAAAATGAATCGCACAGGGGCCAGCAGGTGGTGTGGTGGTTGAGGTGCTGGACTCCTATATGATTGACTGGTTTGAATCCCGGACCTGGTGACTTGCTTTCTCACTCTCTCTGTTTCTCTCTGGTGAGTGCACATGCCCTAAAACAAACGAAAAAGAAATAACATATAAAATTAAATAATTCTTTTTTAAAGAATGATTTTTATTTAACTTAATTTTATTTATTTATTTTTATTTGACCAGAGAGGAACAGAGTGAGAGAGAGAGAAAGAGAGAAAGTGAGAAAGCAAGTCACCAGGTCTGAGACTTGAACCGTGGTTGGCCATGTGGGAGGAAATCCAGTACCCTTACCCACCACATTACTTGCTGCCCCCCAAATTAAATAATTCTAAAAAAAGAAGATGAATAGTGTGTATGCCATCCAAATTTTATATTGTGTTTATACACACATGTATGTATATATATATGTATATTCAGACATACACATTAGATGCAGCTTAGAGCTAAAGTATAGCCTAGGTTTAACCACTGGGGTTGTGTTACGGAAGGAATGAAGAACATCAAACCCAGTATGAGCCTCAAAGAGTCTATGGATATTGAAGGTAAAAAGAAAGTAAGATACCATTTTAATGGTTTAGATGGCAATTCAGACACCTGGCCAGAGGTCCTCTGTGTTTTGTTTGTAATGGCTTAGTCTGGAGTATATTTTACATGTTTCACCTCAAATGTGAGTTACTAATTTGATAAACTTGGGCATTCCTTTAGCTGCTCAGAGACTTTATATATGAGCTAAGGAGAATCCGAGAAAGGATTACATCTAGCTCACTGAGCTGGTACTGTATGGGCTAGTTTGTAGAATCTTTTTCCCAAAGCAATGAGGTAGGTGCGGTTACTATTTTATTTTATTTTATTTTTGTTCTTTTTTGTTTTTAATTTGTTGTAGGGCACATTGCTTGCGAGAGAGAAATGAGAGAGAGAGAGAGAGAGAGAGAGAGAGAACCCTGAAGGGGTTGGTTCCACAGCACTCCCTTCCCCTCCATTCTCCTCTGCAGATTTTGGTCATGCACACATACGTGCCCAGTTTTTTTTTTTTTTTTTTTTTAAAGAATTGTTTGATTTTATTCATCATTGTTACTACTTTTTTAATCTGACAAGAGACAGAGAGAGAGGGAAAGTGAGAAAGCAAGCCTCCAGGTCTGTGACTCAAACTGCATTTGGGCATGTGAGAGTCCAACGCTTTACCCACCACCCCACCTGATAGCCCCTCAATGTGTTTCTTAAGCTGCTGTGTCTGGAACTCAAACTGTGCAGTTGGCCATTTGGAATTCAGTTGCCTTAATTACCATTCCACTGGCTGCCCCTAAACATTTTATTTTTTTAGAGAGAGCTTTTGCTATAGGGTGCATTTCGCTCACCCGAGAGACAGAGACACAGAAAGCAAGAAATCACCCCTCCAGGGGGATGGCCCTGCCGCAGTCCTTTCTTCTTCATTTTCCTCTCAAGATCTTGGGCACTAATGCACACATGCTTGGTGTGAGGTTTAAGCTGCCAGGTCCAAGACTCGAATCGTGGTTGACCTCGTGGGAGTCCAGTGACGTAACTGTTATGCCATCTGTTGTAACCTGTGAGTCCTTGTCCCTAAACATTTTTTAATGGTGTGTTAGAGATCTTATTTTCTATGGACTTTTCACTTTATTTTTTTGAGTCTTTACTTGTAATCCATGGTTTCACTAAAGCTTCTTAGATTAAATTTCATTATCACAAATCACTTTTTGTAAGGCTAGGAAATATTTCAAATTTTTGAATGATATAGAAGTTTGGAATTTAATATAAACAAATATATGATCCGTAAAAGTTGTAGCGTCTATTAAGTTATATTTATTTTCATATTTGAAGAGTTATATTCTCTGTGTTTTGTTTTGTACTGGCTTAGACTGCAGTTTATTTTAGATTTCTCATCTCTAAATCTAATTTGAAAATGATTCTTAAAAGACAACTGGCTTATTTGGCTTTGCTGTTTCTTTTTATTTCAGATCATTTATTATTTTTACGCCAATACATCTGGTACAGGTGAGTCTTCAGTTCTCCAGAGAAACAGTATGAATATCAAATACAGGCAATATTTTTGTATTTATAATTTAAGGTTTTATAATTTAACCCCTGATCATACTAAAGCTGCTGACATTCACATGAGGCCAATTTATAAAATAGATACTTCAAATGTCTTAGTGTAAAATGACAAGGTAGCTTAAGTGGACTTAGGGCAATTTTTGTTCGAGTAGCCTTTTTATTTTTTTATTTTTTTTGAAAGAGATTTTTTGCTATAGGGCATGTGCGCTTACTCGCCAGAAAGAGAGAGAGAGACAGGGAGACAGAAAACGAGAAGTCACCTCACAAGGGGCGGACGACCATGCCACAATCCTTCTTCTCCATTCTCCTTTCAGGATCTTGGGCACACATGCACACATGCCCAGCGTGTTTTAGGCCACCGGGTCAGGGACTCAAACTGCGGTCAGCCATGTGGGAGTCCAGCGATTTAACCACCATACCACAAGCCCCCCCCCCCCAGATATTATTAAGACAATCTCAGTATGACCTTGCTGAGTGGTCTTGAGTGCCCGCATGATGGATACATAGCACATATATCTTGTAAAAAGCATTTTTGTTTTTACTGTTCCATCCGCTCTCTGGTGATCAGTATTCAATTGCAGCACAGCAGAGAACATCAGAGATGCTTCCTTAGGGTTCAGTTCTTGTGTACTTTTAAATTCCTTGTGTGTTCAGTGTATTTCCAGGTATGTTAATAATATTTAGCATTTAAAAAATAATTATTTATTTAATTTTATTTATCATTGTCTTTATTATTTTTAAAATTTGGTACATGGACGTGCACTCACTGGAGAGAGAGATAAAGTGAGAAAGTGTGAAAGCAAGCTGCCAACACTTGAACTGCAGTCCATCATGTGGGAGTCCAGCGCCCTAGCCACCATGCCACCTGCTGGCCACAGATTTTTTTCCAAGAGATTTTTGCTGTAAGGTGTGTGCAGCGCTGGGGAGATAGACAGAAAGTGAGAAACTACCCTCTTCCCCCCCAACCCTGCCCTATCCTGGGGCAATGACCATGCTGGACTCCATTCTCCTTTTAGGTTTTGGGCATCCACATCCACACACACGCCCACAGTAAGTTTCAAGCCTCCGGGGCTGGGACTGAACCATGATTGACCAGGTGGCAATCCAGTATCTTAACCACTATACCACCAGCTGGCCTCTCTTTTTTTTTTTTTTAAATTCCCAGAGGGTTCATACGCTCGCTGAGACAGCACGGAGAAAGCACCCCTCCAGTGGGGTGTGGTCATATCACAATCCCTTTCCTCCTTTTCTCTATCCCACTAGGAGTTTGGACATGCACCTATCCGCGCTTGGTGTGATTTTCAAGCTGCTGGGGCTAGGACTCGAACTGTGGTTGACTATGTGGGATCTGGCTTCTTACATATAGCACTTAACTACTGCACTACAGAGATGGCCCAAAATATGTGAAAGAAACAGTGATTCTGACAAAGGGTATAATTCTGCTTTTATGTACATATATAGGGATTGTTCTATAAAAAGATTTAGTACAGACTGGTCTTTCCTTCAGGGCATCTAATCTTAAACTCCCCAGAGATAAAATAGTTCTATTAGAGACCTTTGGCTCTTCTCTAAGTCATGTGTCAGTGTTTTTCTGCTTTTAATCTATGTGTGTGCATGTGTGTGTGTTACATGTAACACGTCCCTTGTGGCATATGTAACCTACACATTCCAATTCTGCCAGCTGATTTTATCTTGGTTGGGGAGTGTGGGCTCTGACAGAGTAGAGATTATCCAGGAGATGTGAAGCGGCCGGGTGCAAAGAGACAGGCTGTTTTTCTGAGCTCACTGCGCTGGCTACAGCTTGCTAGGATAGGGTGGGCAGAAAATAATGGTGGTTCAGATTGCTGCTTCATTGTTCTTTTATTGTCGATTGGGAGGGAGAAGTCAGAAAAGTTAACACTGAGCCAAGCCTTGTCTTCCGTGAGCACCTCAAGAGCAGGCGTCCATGGGTATCTTTCTCTTTGCCCCGTCCTGAGCAGTCCTTTCCGTACCTAATCTTCCGTGTACTGTGTTACTTTCAAAAAGATTGTAGTTGAGTCTCTGTACTTGAGTTTATGGAAATTAAGCCGAAAGGTTCAGGGCCAGTATTTATTTCAAGCAGCTTTATCATCTTTTAAAAAGTTTCTTTCTCTTTATTTGGAAACATCACATACATACTGAAAATTATAGACAATATATGACTTACCTGAATTAAAGTATCTTGTACTTTTCTATATTTGCTTCAGATTGTTCTTTTCTTAGGCAAAATGCTATATCTCAGATCCTGCCCCTGTCCTTTCCTCTTCTCATCAAGAGGGAATTAACCTCATACAGATGATATTCAAATGCATGCTTCATATATTCGTTAATTTTCTGTAACTGTCTCTTGATATTAAATATTTTACATTAAGTATACCAAATATATATTACTAATGTTTTTTTAGAGGTTTTGCCATAGTATGTGCGTGTTCATGGGGAAGAGAAAAAGAGACAGAGACAGTGAGAAGGAAAGTGAGAAATCATCCCCCAGGGAGTTGGGCACGCCACAATCCCTTCTCCATTCTCCTCCTGGGCTCTTGGGTATGCATGCACATGCATGGCACACTGTCTGTGACATCAATAAAAGAAAATGGAAAAACTAAGGCTAGAGGCCATGTCATTTAACATACATGCTTCTCCACAGCCCCTGCAGCTGAGGTTGCCAGGAACTCAGGCCAAGGCTGCTCATTCACTCAACGGGTAGGAGAAACATAGCTAGGAGCACGCTGATGCTTTCTTCTTCTTCTTTTTTTTTTTTTTTTTTTTAAATTCCCAGAGGGTTCATACGCTCGCTGAGACAGCACGGAGAAAGCACCCCTCCAGTGGGGTGTGGTCATATCACAATCCCTTTCCTCCTTTTCTCTATCCCACTAGGAGTTTGGACATGCACCTATCCGCGCTTGGTGTGATTTTCAAGCTGCTGGGGCTAGGACTCGAACTGTGGTTGACTATGTGGGATCTGGCTTCTTACATATAGCACTTAACTACTGCACTACAGAGATGGCCCAAAATATGTGAAAGAAACAGTGATTCTGACAAAGGGTATAATTCTGCTTTTATGTACATATATAGGGATTGTTCTATAAAAAGATTTAGTACAGACTGGTCTTTCCTTCAGGGCATCTAATCTTAAACTCCCCAGAGATAAAATAGTTCTATTAGAGACCTTTGGCTCTTCTCTAAGTCATGTGTCAGTGTTTTTCTGCTTTTAATCTATGTGTGTGCATGTGTGTGTGTTACATGTAACACGTCCCTTGTGGCATATGTAACCTACACATTCCAATTCTGCCAGCTGATTTTATCTTGGTTGGGGAGTGTGGGCTCTGACAGAGTAGAGATTATCCAGGAGATGTGAAGCGGCCGGGTGCAAAGAGACAGGCTGTTTTTCTGAGCTCACTGCGCTGGCTACAGCTTGCTAGGATAGGGTGGGCAGAAAATAATGGTGGTTCAGATTGCTGCTTCATTGTTCTTTTATTGTCGATTGGGAGGGAGAAGTCAGAAAAGTTAACACTGAGCCAAGCCTTGTCTTCCGTGAGCACCTCAAGAGCAGGCGTCCATGGGTATCTTTCTCTTTGCCCCGTCCTGAGCAGTCCTTTCCGTACCTAATCTTCCGTGTACTGTGTTACTTTCAAAAAGATTGTAGTTGAGTCTCTGTACTTGAGTTTATGGAAATTAAGCCGAAAGGTTCAGGGCCAGTATTTATTTCAAGCAGCTTTATCATCTTTTAAAAAGTTTCTTTCTCTTTATTTGGAAACATCACATACATACTGAAAATTATAGACAATATATGACTTACCTGAATTAAAGTATCTTGTACTTTTCTATATTTGCTTCAGATTGTTCTTTTCTTAGGCAAAATGCTATATCTCAGATCCTGCCCCTGTCCTTTCCTCTTCTCATCAAGAGGGAATTAACCTCATACAGATGATATTCAAATGCATGCTTCATATATTCGTTAATTTTCTGTAACTGTCTCTTGATATTAAATATTTTACATTAAGTATACCAAATATATATTACTAATGTTTTTTTAGAGGTTTTGCCATAGGATGTGCGTGTTCATGGGGAAGAGAAAAAGAGACAGAGACAGTGAGAAGGAAAGTGAGAAATCATCCCCCAGGGAGTTGGGCACGCCACAATCCCTTCTCCATTCTCCTCCTGGGCTCTTGGGTATGCATGCACATGCATGGCATAATTTTCAAACCACTGAGTCTGGGATTCGAACCCCAGTCGGACATGTGGAGTCCAGTGACGTCACCACTATGTCACCTCCGACTCCTATTACTAATTTTCAAAATCCCATTTTGTATTTTCTGATTTTCTTACTGTATTTTTTTTCCTGTTTTGTTTTCGTAGAATTACATTGTATTTTCTTGACTTATTCAGGCGTTAACTCTTTTAGTTTGTTTAATCTTCTGACTGACTTAGCCACTGTTGACCGTTCCCTGCTGTCCGTCGTGAATGGTTTTCCTGTGAACCTATGCTTGGGGTTCTTGAGTCACATGAGGAACATGAAATTGTAGTCCTGTCTTGCATATGGTATAGACTTGAGCTTTTAATTTTTCTAGGAGATTTCATTCCTCTTCCCACAGACCATAGCTCCAGATAGAGATGAGAGTCGTCAGTCTCCCTGGGTCCATGGTGAGGTGTTCCTGGTTTACCTTTCATGGGTGGTGCAGTCATTTTGTGTTCGTACCGTGTGTTAAATCCTGTGTGGGTTCTTCTCTCTTTCTTTCCCGTGTCGATTCTAGCTTTCAATGAACTTTTCATTTTTCTAGCACTTGGAAATTTCTTACTTCCTTGTGAGTTGAACTCTGTACTAGAATGATTGTATGTTAGAATTGAACCAGGATTTCTGAGTGGCTGCAGGAGGAAGGGTTTGTGTAAGCTGGCTCTGCTCTGTTCCTGGAAGACTAGATATCTTTTTCTTAGAAGCAGCATATGTTTTTTTTTTTTTTTTTTAACCTTTGAGTAAACTGCTAGGTTTTACTGGAGGTAGCAAAATGTGTATGGTCACATTTCAGAGATGAAATTAGTAACTGAGTTTTGGTTTTGTTAATATTCAGATGTTATATTTTAGTGGGAAAAAAAAATCCCTGTCTCATTCTATAAATATATGTGCTATTTATAATGTTTATCCTCATGGGTGGCTTTGATGATTAGACTTTAAACTAGCTACTGTGTTGTCATTCCAGCCCCGCACCATTTTTGCTCCCTGATGGACTGGTTCGCTTGGTGAATAAACAGATAAACTGGCATTTGGTACTTGCAAGGTAAGGATGCATGTGAGTTCATAATGTTCTGTGTGGATGAGCTTTGAAATTTCATGATTGATTTTGGGTTCCCATGGCTTTCAGTCTTCATTTTTTATTATATATAAATTCTCTTTGTGTCATTTATGATAATGATTTAAAATTATTTATTTAATTTTATTTGTTATTATTATTTAGTTTTTTAATTTGACCACAGAGACAGAGGGAGAGGAAAGGGAAAGTGAGAAAGCAAGCTGCCAGGTCCATTAACTATGGTTGGCCATGTGGGAGTCCAGCACCTTAACCGCAGCGCCACCTGCCGGCCTCTGATGCTGATGATTTTATTTTGCCAGAGGGTGTGTGCACTTGCCAGAGACAGAGAACAAGAGAGAGAGAAGAGGAGGGAAAAAGCACCCTCACATGGGTCACAATCATGTTGTAATCCTTTTTCCTTTTCTCCGTCTTGTTGGGATTTGGGACATGCATGCACACGTGCCTGGCTTGTTTTTTGCTTCGATTGTGTGTGCACTCACAGGAGAAAGACAGAAAGAAAGTGAGAAAGCACCCTCCCTCCACGACCCATGGTGGTTGATCATAGTGAAATGCCCTTTCTATTTTGCTTTTTGGGATTTTGGACATGCTCACATGTGGGCCTGGTGTGTTTTTGAGGCCGCTGGTCCGGAGCATGAACCGCACAGCTGGCCGTGTGGAATTCAGCTGCTGCCTTAACTTCCATGCCACTGGTTGGCATCCTTGTGGGTTTCTCAAGCTCCTGGGGCTGGGATTAGAATTATGTGGTTGGCCACTTGAGATCCAGTTCCCTTAACCAGTGGGCTATGGGTCCATCCCATGATTAGTATTATTTAAACATGTTAATTCAAAGTGAACTGAATTATTTTCTATTTTTTTTTTGTACCTATATAGTCATCTAATCATAAGGTCCAAAGATGGATATTCAAAGTGTATGACAACACTTAAAAATCATTTTAACTTCTTACAGTAATTTCATCTGTGTGGAAGGCTGTCACAGATATTTGTAATAGAATGTATTTTTCTCTTTTTCTCACTATGAAAGCAATGGGAAACTTTTGGCTGCTGTTCAGGATCAGTGTGTGGAGATCAGGTAATTATTATTGGTGTTTAAGGTTTCTTTGAGAGAACTTTTACTTGGTAAGTGAAAACTACAGTTTTTAAAGAAAGTATATTTAAAAGGATTTTACTGTTCACTCAATTTTGTGAAGTATCAGACTTTAATTTATGCCAGTTAAAGAATGAAGGATGGTTTCTTGGAGTAGTTTCCTTGTCTCTCTGCTTTCTGACATTGCTCTACTGTCTCTGGAGAAATTTTGCTTTCTCAGTAAGTGAGGCCTATCTTCCAGAACTGAAACCACTCTTGCTTGACTAGTTAGTGCTGGGTGAGCTAAGCAGATGTTCAGGAAGGGGTAGAAAAGAATAGGAAAAGCACTGCCCTGTTGGCATAAAGCTGTAGATGCTTTGTGGGTGTGCTGAAGACCAAGGTTACTGTTACTTGAGAACAGCTATTATTATCTGTCCTCTTGAGACCTCCAGTGATGTCAGATATTGTCTTAGTCCATTATTATGTTGCTAAAAAGAATAGCTGAGAGTCGGTGATTAAGAAGAGTGGAGGCTCACTGAATCATGGTTCTGGTGGCTGGGAGTCCATGAGCTTGGGGCTGGCTCCTTGTGGCCTCTGGTGCTACCTTGCAACATGGCCAGCAGGAGCAGAGGGAAGGCAGGCACATGGAAAGAGAGGAAGCCGAATCCCCTCTTTCTCTCTTTGTCTTCCATGGCCCCAGCTGGTTGAGTGGTGCTCTCCCTTTAAAGAGAGGTTTCACCACCTCCCAAAGTCATTACATGGTGGATAAACTTCTAGGATATGAGTTTTCGAGGACAAACTGTCATTCAAAAGTACACATCAAAAAGACTTCACTAAGCTGGGCTTTCCAGATATTTTATTTTAAAATGATGTATCAGTTGCGGGAGAGATAGCAACAGTAACAACTAATTCAGAAAAACTGGTTTATTCTTCGAGAAATTTCCAACAGCAAACCAGATGTATGGCATCTCTAAAAGCGAGGGTTCATCCTTCTTCCAGGCAAGTCCTCCCTGACTCTTGGTTTTCAAACAAGAAGATATAGAAACTTGAGAATCCCTAGACATCAGTCAAAAGTTTTATCTATTTTTTTTAGGTTTTTAAAAATTTATTTTAGTGATAGAGAGAGACACAGATGGGAGGCTCCATCAGCCCCCATGCTGTGATCCACCCCCCCGTCTCAGCCAGCTTGTATCACAGACAGACATGTGCATGCCTGGTGTGTCAGGGAGGTGGCGCAGACTCAGGCCTTGTGCCAGCTAGGTTTAGTTGCATTACCACTGCGCCACCACCTGGCCTCAGGAGATGTTTCTGCTGCTTCATTATTGTTGACTGAAAATAGTTTTAATGACCATTCAGTTATCATCACAGTTTCTTTCTTTCTTTTTTTTTTTGAGAGATTTTTTTCTATAGGGTGTGTGCACTTGCCAGAAAGATAGAGAGAGACAGAAAGCAAGAAGTCATCATCCCCCAGAGGGATGGCTACGCCACAATCCCTTCTCCTCTTGGGATCTTGGGCACGCACGCACATGTGCCCGGCGTGAGTTTAAGCTGCCAGGACTGGGACTTGAACTGTGGTCGACTGTATGAGAGTCCAGTGACATAGCTGTTAACGCTAACTGCTAGTACCTATCATCACAGTTTCTAATAGTGTTCGTGATATTTATTTTATTTTCCATCTATCAAAGGAAAACTGGACCTCTCAACCTTTTGGGGGAGAAAACAGAAGGTTTGGCCCCTGGTCTGGGTATTGGCTTCATCTCTCTCAAAACTCAGGATAAAAATGATGGGCAGTGAAGACAGCCTTTTGAAACTGACTTGTTTTGACAGGGCGTCAATAGGCAGGTCTCTGGTTTTTAGGAGCACCATTAACAACACAGTTGGCCTAGTGTTTGAGTTTACATTGGTCATGCTGATTTGGCCAGCGCTTCCTATTCCATTTGTTATAGTGATATGAAGTGAATCATCTTGAGAAATGTGCTTATGGTGTGACTTAATAGACAAAATTTATTTCCTCCTTTTTAAAAAAAATTATTGTTTTAATTGCCAAAGAGCTTGCACACTCACTAGAGGGAAAGTCAGAGACAAAAGAGAGAGGGGGGAAAAAGTAACCCCCCGAGTGGGATGTACTGATGCCACCATCCTTTTTCCGCTTCCCTATACTGTCAGGACTTTGGGCATGCACATACAGATAGTTTGAGTTTTTATTTTTTTAAGAAAGATTTTTTTTTAAGATTTATTTTATTTAACTTTATTTGTTTATTTTAATTTGATCAGAGAGAGACAGAGAGAGAGAAAGAGAGAGAGAAAGTGAGAAAACTAGCTGCCAGGTCCGGGACTCGAACCGTCATTGACTATGCCAGCGCCCTTAACCATCACACTACCTGCAAGCCCCACCTTGAGTGTTTTTGAAACTGCTGGGACGTCATTCAAACTCGGCTGTTCGGGAATCCTCCACTCCCCAACCGCTAGGCTCACAGGGCCAGCCCAACAGTCCAGTTTCTTGAGGAAATTCAATTTCGTGTATATAATTGCCTTTAATTCTAATATATTTTTAAAAAATGGCTAAAAATGGGACCAGCATGTGGCATGATGATTAAGGGTGTTGGACTCCCACATAACCGACAGCGGTTCAAGTCCCAGACCTGGCGGCTTGCTTTCTCACTTTCTTTCTCTCTATCTCCCTGTCCTTCTATAGTTAACATTTAAATAAATGAATAAATAAGTAAAGTTAAATAATTTAAAAAAATGGCTAAAAATATTGAAAAAAATTTTAAGTAGTAATTAATTTATAGTAATGCTAGAAAATGTAGTTAAATAGAAATAACTACAAATTACCTGTAATCCTGCTATTCAGAGTTGTCTACTGTTAACACTTTGGTATATGTTCTTTGAAGTTTTCTGTGCGTATGTGTGTTCTATATTTTATATTTAGTGGAATTATACTGCACATTCTATTTGATATGGACTTGTTATAAATAGCTACTTTAATTTACGTTCTTTGTATCTTCCTTTTTCTGCATAACTTCTGAAAATTAATTTATTGCGAACATCTTTCCATGTCATATATAGTAATTGCATAATATTTCATTACTTGCTCATAGCAAAGGTTAATTAATTAATTTCCTTATACTGAGTGTATTTTTCTGTTTTATAAATGAAACTATATTAATTTTTTAATATTTGTGTATATCTATAGTTTCCTGGGGATAACTTTATGGAAGTGGAATTGCTAGGTAAATTGTTATGGATGTTAAGGAATTGTAACTTAATTATTTTCTAGAAGGTTTACCAATTTACAGTTTTGAACATATTTTATACATCCTTATACTGCTTTGGTGTGTGTGTGTGTGTGTGTGTGTGTGTGTATGTGTGTATCTTTTTTTGTTTTGTTTTTATGTTTTTGCCATAGGGCCTGTGTGCTTGCTGGAAAGAGACAGTAAGAGGGAAAGTGAGAAATCAGTCCTTAGGGCATGGCCATACCACAATCCCTTCTCCTTCATTCTCTTTCAGGGATCTTGGGCACACATGCACACGTGTCTGGAGTGGATTTCAAGTCACTAGGTCTGGGACTTGAACTGCAGTGTGTCATGTGGGAGTTTAGCACCTTAACGACCATGCCACTTGCTGGCCCTTGTCTTGGTATATACTTCAAGATCACAGATATTAACTAGGTCACTGATACGAGTGTGGTGACTTTTTAAGGTTATTTGGTTCATTAAAATAAGACGTTTCTTACATGATCGAACTTTGTGATATAGTATGGACTGGTTGCTCTTAACTAGGATCAATTTGTGAAACTTTAAAAACACATTTGCTTGGGTCTCATCCTAGATTTACTGAATCATATATATATATATTTTTTTTTTTTTTTTGAGAGTTTTTTGCTATAGGGCACGTGCTCTCGCCAGACAGAGAGACAGACGGAAAGTGAGAAATCACCCCCCAGGGGGATGGCTACGCCGCAATCCCTTCTCCTCCATTCCCCTCTCGGGATCTTAGGCATGCACACACACGTGCTCGGCCTGAGTTTAAGCCACCAGGTCTGAGACTCGAACCACGGTTGACTACATGGTAGTCCAGTGACATAACCATTACACTAACTGCTGGTCCCAGACATCTCTAGTATATTAAAAGACCATGAGTAAACTTACTTCAGGTGTTTCACTCTATTCCTGGGGCAGTTCTGCTTCTGATACAATAAGGTTGGGAAAAAATATTATTACTAATGAAAGCATTTTACTTGAGGCACAAAATCATCTTGGTAAGAGGAGGAGTGGTTCAGTGTTGTCCAGGCAGCATGTGGTGGTGGTTTGGATCTCTACCCCACAATGTTGTGGTAACATGACATCCTCTCCATTTTGCAGGTCTGCAAAAGATGATTTTACATCCATCATTGGGAAATGTCAAGGTAAGAGTTTCCAAAATATGTAAAAAATGAACATTTGACATTTATAATGATTACCATGTTTATAAAAGTTTTAATAGACATTACATAAATAATATTTGTTACTAAGATTATTATGACAGTATATTAAAATCAGTTAGAAAATCTTGACTGTTTTTTCTTACTGCCTTAAGTATTTTGGTCCAAGATGCACATTTTGGAGGGAGTTAAGGTTTAAACTATGTTTTAAAAGTCTAAGCCAGTTTGGGATAAAGTATTTGTATGTGCAGACTTTTATTTTGAATTCAATGCAGAAAAATATACTTAGATTAAGTCAAGAGTTGGTCTGAGGTGCCAGCAGGTGGCGGAGTAGTTGAAGCACTGGAGTCCCAGTAGGCTGACCATGGTTCGTGTCTTGGACCTGGTTGTTTGAAAATCATACCAGGCGTGTGTGTGATTGTGCCTAAAATCCTGAGAGGAAAATAGAGGAGAAGGGATTTCTGTGCAGCCAGGCCCGCTGGAGGGTGATTTCTCACCTTCTCTCTCACTGTCACATTTTGTCACTGCTGAGCACACACACCCTATGGCAAAAACCTAAAGAAGTCTGAATAGCGATCATTTTTTGATATTTTCAGCAACAGTAGATTGAGTGCTATAAATACGTGTGGACCGGGCCTGGCAGGTGGCATGATGGTTAAGGTGCTGGACTCCCACCTGGCCGACTATGGTTTCAGTCCCGGACCTGGCAGCTTGCTCTCTCATTTTCCCTCTCTCTCTCTTTCTCTTCTCACTCTGTCCCTATCTGGTTAAATGTAAATAAACAAACAAATAAATACATACATACATAAATAAATACTAATTCTTTTAAAAAATATGTATGGGGACCAGCAGTTAGCGTAATGGCTATGTCACTGGACTCCCACGTAGTCGACAGCGGTTTGAGTCCTGGACCCTGTGGCTTGAACTCACGCTGGGCGTGTGTGCGTGCGTGCCCAAGATCCCGAAAGGAGAATGGAGGAGAAGGGATTGCGGCGTGGCCATCCCCCCTGGGGAGTGATTTCCTGCTTTCTGTCTCTCTGTCTGTCTCTGTCTGTCTGGCGAGCGCATGCGCCCTATAGCAAAAACCTCTAAAAAAAAAAAAGAAAAAAAATATATATGGACTAAAGTTTTGATGAACACTTGGGGTGTGGTTGTGAGCAAAAAAGTATGTTTCTTTACCTAATGAGGCATATAGTTTACTCAGATATATAATTACAATCTTTAACAGGTCTGATGAAGGAAAAATACAGAGCACAGTAAGAGTTTTTAAACAGAAGTATGATCAGATTGTTGAGAAAAAGTGACTTGTAGAAAACGACCTAAAGACTGAGTAGAAGTTGGGAGAAATCAGGGAGTATCTCGGTCTGCAGGAACAGTATAGGAAAAGGCAGAGGGCATCGGTCTTTACAGGATTTTTGCCTCAGGGCGCATGTGCTTGCCAGAGAGACAGGCAGGCAGTGAGAGGGAAAGTGAAAAACCATCTCCCAGGGGGATGGCCACGGCCCAATCCCTTCTCCTCCATTTGCCTTCTAGGGTCTTGGGCACGCACACATACCTGGCATGATTTTCAAGCTATGGTCACCTGGAAGCGCAGTGCTGTAACTGCTACGCCATCTGCTGGCTCCGCTTGGTGTGTTTTTCAGGCTGCCAGAGATGGGACTCAAACTGTGCATTCGGCCATGTGGGGTCCAGCTGCCTTGGCTATCGTACCACTTGGCTGGCCCTCGTCTCGCCTTTTTATAATCTGCTCCTTCCGCTGTAGTCCCTAGGTGATTGTTGCTACCATTTTCTGCGGTTCATCCATGCCAGAAATTTAGAAATTTTCTTTTCCTGTCCTTTCTTTCCTTTTTGCTTTCTTTGACAAATATGTAAGTTGTGTGTGTCAGGCACTGCCATAGGCACCGTATATATGAGGGGACTTCACAATGTTTGGCTTTTTATAATCTGCTCCTTCCGCTGTAGTCCCTAGGTGATTGTTGCTACCATTTTCTGCGGTTCATCCATGCCAGAAATTTAGAAATTTTCTTTTCCTGTCCTTTCTTTCCTTTTTGCTTTCTTTGACAAATATGTAAGTTGTGTGTGTCAGGCACTGCCATAGGCACCGTATATATGAGGGGACTTCACAAGGTTTGGGGAAAAGAGAATTGAAGTACAAGTTTATTTTGGTGCAAGAAAGAAAGATATAACAATTCATTGTAATTATTTTGAGTGCTGTGATGGAGAAAGATCACCTTTAATTTAACCAAGTCTCAGGAATCTTTTTCAACATTTGCCTCCGTTCTGCACTTGAACCACCACAGCGTTAGTTCAGGCTCTTAACATTTAAAACAAAAAGCGTATTTCTTCTATGAGACAGAGTGAGACGGGCACCCCAACCTGGTTCTCATGCCATGGTCCAGCTCAGCCAGCCTGGATCATGGACAAGGGCATGCCCAGCATGGAGTGGGAGGCCCCACGATGCCAACCAGTGACCTTCCCACCTGGGTTCAGTGTATCACTGCTGAAACCCCACCGGACTCTGTTCTTAGCATTTTTTACTTGGTTTCTTGCTGCAGTCTGCTGTCCTCGCTGATCCATACTTTGCACTCCTTTTCAATTTGATCATTGTTTTTAAAGAATGATTTAATTTATTTATTTACTAATTTTAATTTGACCAGAGAGGGACAGAGCAAGTGAGAGCTAGAGCGAGAGAGGGAGAGAGCGAGCGAGCTGCCAGGTCCGGGACTCGAATCACAGTTGGTGATGTGAGAGTCCAGCGTCCTTAACCACCACAGCACCTGCCGGCCCCCAAGTTTATAATTTTAAAATGATAATTCTATCAGATTTCTCATCTGGCTCTACTACTTTCTTTTCTTTTCCTTTTAAAAGATTTATTTATTTAATTTTATTTGTTATGTATTTTAAATTTTATTAGAGAGACAGAGAGAGAAAGGGGAAGGGAGAAAGCAAGCTACCAGGTCCGGGACTCAAACTGCAGTCGCCATGTGGGAATCCAGTGTCTTGAACCACCGCACCATCTGCCGGCCCTTCTCCTACTCTCTTGGCATGTGATTTTAGACAAGTTACTTCCGTGAACTTTACTTTTATTATGTATCACATGGCCATAATTTTGTATATTTGAGTTCTGGGAAAGGAACTAATGCATGTCTTAGGAGAGTGTCCAACACGTAATAAATATTTAGGAGACATTAATCTTTTATTATTATTACAACTATTACTACTATAATTCTGCCTAAAATCTTTAAATTGTTTGATGTTGACTATGGAATACAGTTTATATGTTCTCATTTAAGAGACCACACCTGTCACAGTCAGCCTGTCTGTCATGTGTCCTCTGTTCTTGTACACCACGATGTACGGTTTCCCGGCCCATCATACCTTTCATGCTTTGTGCAGATATTTCCTTTGCCTCAGAGCTCCCACCTAACATGGAACTAATGAGTCCTTTTGTCTCCGTCCAAGCTTCAGCTCTTTGGGGCGCCTTTCTTCCCTGCTCTCTGCCCCGCTATTATTACATCTTTATGTTTCCCTAGTACTTGTTTATGCCTGTATCGTAACACTTGCCTACTTTTAAAAACTAATTATTGATCTACTTGTCTGATTCCCAATTAGATCGTAAATTCTTTGAAGACAGGGTTCCCGTCTTATTCAACTTTTTTTTTGAGAAGGTTTTTCTATTAGCGCTCTCCAGAAAGACAGAGAGAGACAGAGAGACAGAAAGCAAGAAATCACCCCCCAGGCGAGATGACCACGCCGCAGTCCCTTCTCCTTCATTCTCTTGGGATCTTGGGCACGCATGCACACGTTTTCGACGAGAGTTTTAAGCCACTGGGTCTGGGACTCGAACTGCGGTCGACTACATGGGAGTCCAGCGACACAGCCATTATGATAACTGCTGGTCCCTGTCTTATTCAACTTTTAAAAAACAGTTCCTAGTGGCTTGTACACTGTAGACATATTTTTTAAAAAATTTTTAAAAATGTTTCTGCCATAGCACACAAGTGCTCGCTAAAGAGAGACAGTGAGAGGGAAAATGAGAAATCACCCTGAGGGATTACGGTCATGCCGCAGTCCCTTCTCTTCTGTTGTCCTCTCGAGAGTTTGTGTATGCACTCATATACACTGGTGTGATTTTCAAGCTACCTGCTCAGGGACTTGAACAGCAATTGGCCCTATGGGAGTCTAGTGCCTTAACCACCACACCACCTGCTGACCCGACACTGTTTTTGACCCTATTCAGTGGAAGATGGCACTTGGGAGCTAGTCGGTTGATTTTTATGGTGATTTTGTGAGCAAATATATTTGCCTGTTTCCTATTAGTTACTTTTAGAAATTCATGAGAATGCATATAGGTTAGTTATGTATAAGGTGTATATTATACATATAAATCTATATATAAATTATAAGTAATTGTTATATTTATACTTTTTATTCCTAATATACCTATGTGTATACATACCATACATAAAACAGTAAGAGTAGATAAGTCTCATTACACAATATCTTTTTAAAAATAATTATTTATTTAATTTGATTTATTATTATTATTTAATTTGCTATAGGGCATGCACGCTCACCAGAGAGAGAGAGTGAGAAGGACTCGAACCTCGGTCAGCCGTGTGGGAGTCCGGCGCCACCATCTCTGCACCACGTGCTGGCCCCAGCGTCAGTATCTTTTCAAGAAGGATAGAAGGGTGGGTTGTGTTTTATGCGTGAATGTATAAATGCTCTAGCGTTTTCCACATTTATCTTGTGCAGTTCCCTTGGCAGCCCTTGTTAGAGTGGACCAGGCCTGGCTTAAGCAGTGTGTAAGGATCCAGAAGAGGGCTGGCTTTGTGGTGCGGTGGTAACGTGCTGCTCAGGAGACTCGGCCCACATGGCGACCATGGTCCAGACCCTCTGCCCAGTCAGCCCGAAGCATGGTGGGCATGTGCACAAGGGCAAGCACACACGTGCATGCATGTGCTCTGTCATGAATAAAGAAA